ACCCTCCCCACTCTCATGCTCTCTCTATCTCATTCTCTCTCTCAAATAAATAAACAAAATCTTTAAAAAAAAAAAAAAGAAAAAAAAAGAAATCATACAATATGTAATCTTACGTCTGGCTGCTCTCATTCAACATTTCTTCTATGAGATGCATCCATATTGTATGTTGTTGTAGATCATTCACTGTCATTGGTGTGTGGTACAATTTTAATATTTTTATTTAATAATAATATATTTTAATCTTTAACTATATGGTTAATCTCTTGCCCATCTTCTTCCACTAGAATGTTAATCCCTTGAGAGCAGGGACTTTGCTTTGTTGTTTATTGCTGTTTCCATCTCTCAGTATTTATTATATAAAGGTATACATTTTTTTTTTTTACTATTTCTTCGACTTGACATAATGAGATAATATCTTGTTCAGTTTTCAATCTCTGACACCCAAAAGAGTGCTTGGCACAAATGGTAGACGTTCAGAACTGTTGAAAGGAAAAATTGATGGATAAAGAATTACTTTATCTTTTTTTCCCCTAAGTGGTTCTTTTGTATTTTTTGTTGAAAACAAAAAAGGACCTAGACATGAGCCTTTTAATGCAGGAGTTTGGTAAACTACAGCCCACAGCTGGCAAGCTAAAAATGACTTTTAGATTTTTCAAGAGTTGTAGAGACAAAGAAGAATATATCGCAGACATGATATGTGGCCTAAAAAGCCTGAAATATTTGTCTGGCCCTTCACAAAAAAACGTTTCCAGGAAATCATTATAAAGTTAACTCCATATAATCATTACTTAGGTCAAGAAGTAAAATATTTCCAGTACCCTGGAAACCTGTGTGCTCTTCTGATTATAACTCTCTCCCTCTACCCTGGAAACAACCAACCACTGTTCTAATTTTTGTGATTATAATTTGCTATTTCTTACCATTTGACCATGTATGCATCCCTAAACAAAATAGTTTCATTTTGTCATTAAGTCAATTTTGTTAATTGTGGCGTTTAATCACAGTGTTTAAATTTTCTATATTCTGATTTTGGGCTCTTTGTTCTAGCAATTACCAAGAGGTATATTCATATCTCTCATGGTTGTGGGAGTTGTTTCTTCCTGTATTTATATTTTTGCTTTGTGTATTATTAAGTGACTCTCTTCATTTCTTGTGATACTTTTTGCTCTAAATGCATTATATCTGATATTCGGTATATCCAAATCATTGTATGGTATAGGTATTTCCATTTTTATACTATCAACTTTTCATTATTATTTCATTATGTTTCAATATACCTGAAAAAAAATAGTTGAATTTTTTGTTTTTTTCAGTCAAAATTATTTTTTTAACTTTAGCATTTATTTTTTTTACTATATTGGGTTTAAATATACCATCTTTTAATGTGTTTTCTACTTATCCTGCATGTTCTCTGTTCCTTTTTCTTTCATTTCTTGCTTTTATTTGGGTCAGGTTTTTTGGGGGGTGGTGGGAATCATTTCGTATTCTCATCCTCCGCTAGTAGCTAGGTCCTATCCTGTGTTTCTCTTAGAAATTACCACATGTATCTTCAGTATGCCTAGGTTTGATGTTAATAGTATCTTTATCCTCCTCTCAAAGAAAGAATGATGTCAGAACATTAACTCCATTTACTTGCAGCTAACTTGGTGGTGGTGGTATATGTTTGTATTTTTTGTTTTTAGCCTCATACAACATTATTTTATGCTGTCAGTGTTCATTTACCTCTTTCTTTGTACTTCTTTCCTTTTTGTATCTTACACCTACCACCTAGGGTCACTTTCCCTCTGCTTTAAGTACTCCTTTAGTATTCTTTTATATGTATCTGCTGGGGAGTTAACTCTCTAGGTTTTTGTTGTTTAAATAACTTTATTTTGCTTTTATCCTTGAAAGATATTTTTGCTGTGTATATTAGTTTGGCATTTTTATTTCTCTTAATGATTGAATGTATTATTACCATCTTCTGGCTCCCATTGTTACTATCGAGAAAACAGTTTTCATTTACTTCTTTTTTTTTTTTTTAAAGATTTTATTTATTTATTTGAGAGAGAGAGAATGAGAGACAGAGAGCATGAGAGGGAGGAGGGTCAGAGGGAGAAGCAGATTCCCTGCTGAGCAGGGAGCCCGATGTGGGACTCGATCCCAGGACTCCAGGATCATGATCTGAGCCGAAGGCAGTTGCTTAACCAACTGAGCCACCCAGGTGCCCCTACTTCTTTTTTTTTTTTAAAGATTTTATTTATTTATTTGACAGAGAGAGAGAGAGAACAAGTAGGCAGAGAGGCAGGCAGAGGGAGGGGGAGAAGCAGGCTCCCCGCCGAGCAGGGAGCCCGATGCGGGGCTCGATCCCAGGACCCTGGGATCATGACCTGAGCCGAAGGCAGCCGCCCAACCAACCGAGCCACCCAGGCGCCCCTTTCATTTACTTCTTATTTCTATGAAAGTATCTATTCTTTTTTTCTCCTGGCTGCTTTAAAAATCTTTATCCGTGGTGTTCTGTAGTTTCACTATGATGCATCCTTTTATTTCTCTTGCTTGTGATTTGTTGGGCTTCTTTGTTGGTTCTTGTACCAGTTCTGGATAATTATTAGCCATTGTCTCTTCAGATATTATTTCTGCCCTGTTCTCTTTTTCTTCTTCCTATGAAATTCCAATTAATTGTATGTTAGACCATCTCACCTTATCATCTTGCTTTTTAACATTTTTTTTCTATTTTCTTTTTGTCGCCATTTGCTCCATTCTGGATAGTTTCTTGCCTTCCAGTTCCAGATTCTCTGTTTTGTTGTATCTAATTTGCTGTTAACTCCACTGAATTCTTAATTTTTGTTATTTTATGTTCCCGGCTGATAGTTTCAAGCTTGTCTTCTCTTATTATTTTTTTGTAACCTGGTAGACCTTGTTTTATAATCTGTATTTGATAATTCTGGCATTTGAAGTTTTTGTGAATCTGTTTGTTGTCTCTTTTATGAATCTGTTTGTTTTTCCTAGCTGTTGCTCCAGGCTTTATTTCTTTTATGCTTCGTATTATTTTTTGACTGTGTGCTGTTCATTGTTCCTGAAATATTGTTTGTGAAATTTCTTTGAGATCTAAGACAAAGATGTATTCCTCCAGGGAAAATTTTTATTTGCTTCTTCCAAGTGCCTAGAGATTTCACCCATCCAGTACTACTTTCAGCTACTGAATTTGTGGCTTTTATTTTGTTTGTTTGTTTCATCTACCCATTCAGTATTGATCTGGATTGTGTTAACATTTCTCAGGGGAGCTCCCGCCTCCTGCATTGCCAAGGCAACTTGCTTGTAGTTCCCTGAGGGTGGAGGAAATTTTTCTTCTGGTTTTCATTTTCCCTGAGAGTGTAACCTTTGGGAAGCCCTGGAAGCTTGATGTGTGAAGGGTTTCCTGTTGAACCCCTGCCCCCAGTGGACTTTGTTTGGCTGGTGATTATCTGCTTGGCACCATGTGCCCTGGAAATAGAGATTCAAGATCTGCAGGTACCTTTAGGGCAGATGTGACTTTGGTACTTCATTTATGTGTCTTGTGTTCCTATTTCCCTTAGTTTTGCCCTGGCAGATCCCTACTATCCCCTATTATCAACTCTTCAGTGCTTTTAGTATCTTTTTTTTCCTATTTTGCCCTATTTTTATGATTATCTAATCCTAGCCTGCTGTATTTCCAGAAATACTCAAAAATCTTTCAGCCCTTGGCAAATACTTATTGAGTACATAACAGAATGATTAATTTTAGTATCGTGGCTTCAGAGATACAATCTCCCAAGTAGTGCAAATATCGTTGTGACTGGGTATCACGAATGCTCTGGAGCCTGAATTTAAGCAATTGCATTTGGTTGGGGTAGGAGTGTTGGTCTCAAGGTGGTGGATTCTGCTTACAGATTAAAAAACTAAATTCCTTTGTCAGGATTATTTTGGTTAGTTTATTTTACTTTTATTTTCTAAAAGGAAAATGTTAAGAAGTTTTCCTGATGAAGGGATACATGTTGACTATGAAAGTCCAACTCAGAAGTGGTAAAATAGAAAGTCTCCTCCAGAAGAACTATTATTCAAGAGTTTAGTGGGCATAAACATATACATGTATGTTCTCATATAATGGATTTTCTCATTTCTTTGTTTATTTATTTAACCAATATCATGTAAACACTTTTGTGTCCTATAAATAGTGCTGTAATGAATGTCCTTGTATATATATCTGTACTTAGGCATTTCTTTTCCTTTGGATGAATTTCCGAACTATAATTCCCGAGTCAAAGAATATGCTTACTTTTAAAATGTCATCACTTAATTGCTAGCGGATTATCAGCAGTTTGTGGGTCCCAGTTTCTGCGTACCCTCCTCTAATACTAAAGCTTAGCTTTGTAGTCTTTGTCAGTGAGAAGAATACCTTGTTTTACCTGCATTTCTTCATTAGTGATATTAAACATCTTAAGTTTAATGGCCTTTTGGATTTCTCTTTTAATGCTTATTTAGGCTCTTTGCCATTTATTTATTGGAGTATTTGTTTTTTTCTTCCTGATGAGTAGGAACACATTATTTTTTAAGATTGTTAACTCATTGTCATTTATATGGTAAACATTTTTGCCTGTTTGAGTTTTATCTTTTAACTTTATGTTGACTTTTGCCATTTGGGTAAAAAAATTTGGAGTCAAATTTATCAGTGTTTTTCCTTTATGTCTTAGTGGTTTTGTGTTATTCTAAGATGGTCCTATATGGTTTATATTTTTAATGTCATGCCTAAAAAGTCCTTCACCACTAAAAAGTCATAAAAGTATTTGTTTATATTTTCTTGTAATTTTTATGTATAAGGAAGCAGTCTACTTTTCCCTTTTTTCTAATGCCTACACAAATATCCTACCATCTTTTTAATAAGTTTCCACTAATCTGAAATACACTTTAATCGTAAATTATATATCCGTATTATAGGGGTCTGCTTCTGAGTTTTTTATTCTGTGCCACTGATTGATGGGTCTGCTCATGTACCAGTATTATACCGATATAGTTATGTTGTTTTGTAGTATGTTTTAATAACTAGTCAGGTTTCCCTGCTATTCTTTATCAAAACTTATATTGCTAATCATGACTATTTTTCCAAGTGAACCTCAATTACTGTGTGAAATTCCACAAAAACAACCCCCTAAAAGAAAGCAAGAGAACCTCTGTGATCGCTACACCACCATAACACTCTCTCCTGCAGAAAAAAAAAAAAAGTAAACAAAAAGCCTTAAGCATTGGCTTTTAGAAAAATTTGACATTTATAAAATTTGAATGCAGGAGCATAGTATCATTATGTAGGTCATGTTTTACATCTGTCAGTGAAGCTGTGGTTTTTCTTTATAGGTAACCCCCATATTTCTTAAGTTCTAAACTTATTTCTATTTTATAGATTTTTAAAAATTTTGAATCTGCTTTTTCTTCCATTACATATTCTGATAATAATAAATTATTTGTATATGGGGTAGCTATTGATTTTTGTATGTTTACTTTATATTCAGCCATCTTACTGAACTCTTATTTGTTGTTTTTCAATTGATTCGCTTAGTTTCCTTTGTGAATAGTTATATCATCCAAAAATGACACTTTTTAATCTTTTTAATATTTTCCAGTGTTTATACCTCATTTTCCCACCCTTACCATGTTGGCTAAAACTTCTGTAATAATGTTGAGATGATTGTGATATTAATATGTTATCCCCTGTCTAGTTTTCCTAACTCTGATGAAAGTGTCTCTGGTATGGCACCATTGATTTATGTTGATTTCTGAAAAAATACTCTGTTGTATTAAAGATGGATAATTTCCAGTGTTTTTTATTTTGTTTTTTAAGAGTTGCCCAACAATGTGCAAATCCTTTTTGACATCTAAAGGGAAGAATCTTGATTCCCCTTCCCCCACCATTAATGTACTGAATTAATCAGTAGATTTGCTAATAATGAACTATTTTCACATTTCTGAAATAAACCATACATAATTGTGTTATATTATTTTTTTAGTGTTCTTTGGAACTTGTTTTGCTTGTATTTATTTTCGATTTTTGCATCTAAGTATAGTATGGTGAGGATAGAATTGAGAGTGAAGTAAATTCTGCCTGTAAATTTGGGGACAAATGTCTTAATCTTCATTTACCTACAGGGAAGAAATAACATTTTTTTTGTAGGTTTGAGGCTATTTTGAAGTTGATTTGTTGAACTCTACAAAGTAAACTGCAAATGCAGTTATGCAAATGTAGAACAATGAAGATATAATTTTACAGAACTCGAGTAAGATATTAACTCAGATTTATAGATAGGTTATAATCCATGATGCTGTTGTTATGCTTTCCACATTTGTTTTCTGAAAAGGTGTTTTTCAAAAATACCCTTATTTTCAATAACCGTGTTTTAATCTGTTAGACGTTTTGGCAGGTTTCAGGTTTTCTTTCTCACGTAATGTGTGTGTTTTCGCTCATGTTTTCCAGCGGCGAGTAGAACAGCCCCTGTACGGCTTAGATGGAGCTGCAAAGGAGGTGCCAGAGGAGCAGTCCGCGCTGCCCACCCTCATGTCAGTGATGCTAGCAAAACCTCGGCTTGACACCGAGCAGTTGGCACAGAGGGGCGCCGGCCTCTGCTTCACGTTCGTTTCAGTGAGTACCGAGGCTCAGTTGCTTGCAGATCCTTGTTGCCCTGGAGCTCCTTGATGAAGTTTGAGTAATTATTTCGGTGAAGAGATGATGACGTTTCTAACTATGTGACTTCTAAAGGTAGTGTGGTTTTACTCCGTCTCCCTTGGTACGAGGGGGCTGATAGAGACTGCTTTCCTTCAGTCTGAGCACTTCTGGGGCGCCTGGGTGGCTCAGTCGGTTGGGCATCTGACTCCGGTTTCGGCTCAGGTCATGATCTCAGGGTCGTGGGATTGAGCCCCATGTTGGGCTTCGCACTCAGGGCTCAGCCTGCTTGCCCCTCTTTCTCCTCCCTACAGGTGCTCGCTCGCTCTCTCAGATAAATAAATAAAATCTTTTTTTTTTCTTTTTAAAGAAGCAGATAAACCTTTAAAAAAAAAAAAGTCTGAGCACATCAAGGGAAAGAAAATATGGTTTTAGGTTGACAGAGAAGTAAAGGAAGTACAGAACAAATTCCATTACAGCCGAAGTATGTGTCTAATAAAAAAAAAATCTCCAAACTCCAGGCATCACTTATTTGAAGCAGTATTCAGGTCAGTAAAATTTTAGCACGTAGGCAGGCATTCTGTAGCATGTTTGCCAGTCATTTCCCCTCTGTGGTATTTGGATGACCTGTATGCTTGCTTTTTCTCACCTCTTCACAGTTACTTTTTCCAGGAATATTTGGTTACCCGTTGGCTGCTTTCATCTTGCTTCTTTCTCTCTCCTTGAAGAACCAAGAATTTCAGTATTATGAAAATTTGACCCCATCTGTATTTGCCAAATTATAATGCAGTTTGACTCAAAAGGTTTTTTTGTTGTTTTTTTTTTGGTTTCTGTGCCCAACTATGGATGGTGTAAGCCAAAAGAAAGCCCCATTGCCCTGTTCTTCCATTCAGAGCTTCCATTATGTGCCCTTGCCCATTCTTCCATTCAGAGCTGACATCACCACTGATCCAAACTCTTTCTCTTCTGCTGGTTCATTTTCTCCACTTACAACCTAAATTTCCTCTTATTTGCTTTGTGGACTCTGAGTCATTAATCCACATGCAGTTGTGTATTCAAAAAGGCCATGAGAACAGTGAGTGCCTTAAGGAAAGGAAATAAAAATTATGAAATAATTAGATAGGGAGCCATTGTGTACCATTTGGAATACTTTCCTACAGTTATTGCTTTTCCTCAAGAAAGAAATATTATAAGTTTTAAACTTACAGAATTTTTTAATTATCAAAAGAATGGAGAGACTTCTTGCGTGAAGGCAGTAAAATTTATCTGTGGGTGGCAAAAGAAACACAACATAAAATGGGAGAATTGACCAGTGTAATCCTGTGGGTGGGCCTCAGCAGTATGCCATAGTTTGTATGAGAATATCGTGGTTCTCTGTGGTATTGTTCTAGAGAATGTGTCTGTCTGTGTATATATATAAATTACATTGTGTGTTTACTATTCACTGACTATTAAATTTTCATCTTAGATCTAACTTTCTCAGGCAAAACTTGGATAATCAGAGGTTTATTTGTCCTTACGTTCTTTTATTGCCTTAAAAGCTACCTCCATTTCCCCTGAAGGGAGTTCCCTTTATTCATTGCACAAATACTTACTGAATGCCCACTATGTGACAGGCATATAATTAAGTACACAGGAGGGGCGCCTGGGTGGCTCAGTCAGTTAAGTGTCTGCCTTTGGCTCAGGTCATGATCTCGGGGTCCTGGGATTGAGCCCCACATTGGCCTCCCTGCTCAGCGAGGAGTCTGCTTCTCCCTCAGCCTCTGCCTTTCCCCACCACTTGTGTTCTCTCTCTTCCTTTCTCTCACTCTCTCTTGCTCTCTCAAATAAATAAATAAAATGTTTAAGAAAAAGAAGTACACAGGATTTTGATCAGCAAAACTCCGTCCCCTAATGTGAGCGAGCCTTCCATAAAAGGTATGGGCATGCAGGCTTGGGATGGGTGCACATGGACAACCACCTGCTCAGTCCTATCAGCTAGTACACTCAGGCTGTCAGAGGAGTTGCAGATGCTACAGCCAGATTGTTCTCATGTAGAAGAGAGATGGCAGAGAATAGTAAGAAAATGAACATGTCCGTAGAAGGAACAGGGAGATAGTACGAAAAGCAAAGGCCTAAATGGTTTGGTACAGTTCTGAATCTCTTTTGCTTCTCTGTAGTTCCAGCCAGGATATAAGCTTAGTAATATAGAGAAAGAAGAAAGCAGAAGAGTTAACATTAATGTATAAGAAATGCTTTGAATCAATAAAGATAAGCAGTTTCCCAAAAAATAGGCAAAGGCTATGAGCAGACAGTTTCACAGGGGGGATATAGGACAAATGATGAATAACATGAAAAATGCTTAACTTTAGCCATGGAGAAATGCAAAATATAACAAGGTAACACTTGACCTATCAAAAGTGTCAAGGATTGTTTCATTTGATAATTCTCAGTGTAGGTTATAGTTTAGACACCCATGCAAGTTTCATACTGACCCTGAGTTGGTACAGTCACTTGGACAAGTTGGTAATGTAGCTGAGTGTTAAATTTACATATCCTGGAGTCCAGAAACTGTATTCCCATAAAACTATACAAAGATGTTTATTGTTTATAATTGCAGAAATCGGAAGCATTTTCCCTTCACCAGTGTTTCAAAGGAACTTGGAACGAGGGTATCTGTGACCTCCACACTGCTAACCCCAGTGATCATTCTCAGAACTTACTGTCTAGCATGATTCATAAGCCACAGTTGATGACTCCCTTCTCCAAGCACATGCTCTTCTCTTGGCTTCCGTTCTTTTGGTTCTTCCTCATTTCCCAGACCACTAAACAGTGGAGTGCCCCTGAGCTCCGTCTTCAGACTTTTGTCTAGCTTTATTCTCTATGTAATCTCATTTAGTTTCTTTGCTCTAATTATCACCCATGTGCAGAGCATTTCCAAGTTTGTATCTCCAGCCCAGAGCCCTGCCCTGAATTCCAAACCTATATAGTCAGTTGGCACTAGTCTTCTCTTTATGTCTTTTTTTTTTTTTAAGATTTCATTTATTTATTTGGCAGAGAGAGCAAGCGGGCACACGAGCAGGGAGATCAGCAGAGGGAGAGGGAGAAGCAGGCTCCCCGCTGAGCAGAGAGCCCAACGTGGGGCTTGATCCCAGGACCCTGGGATCATGACCTGAGCCGAAGGCAGACTCTTAAACAACTGAGCCACCCAGGCACCCCTCTTTATGTCTAATAAGCATATCAGATCTAATATGTCCAAAACTGAATTCTTCATTTTGTCCCCTTGCTCTAAACCCATTTCTTCCATAGTCTACCACATCTCAGTAACTGTCAATTCTCCTTCTAATTGTTTAAAAGCCATGGAGTCATTCTTGTCTCTTCTATCTGTTTTATATCCCAATTACAAATCCATCAGCAAATCTTCCTGTTGAGAATATGTCCAGAATCCTACCGCTTCTAACCCCTTCAACTACTTGAACTAAACCATGTTCTCCCACTGAAGTTACGGTACTAGCCTCTCAGCTGGATTCTTTTCTCCAACTTTTGTTTCCTTTTAATTTGTTCTCAACAGATCAGAGTAATGCAGTCATGCCTGCTCAAAGGTGCTGAAAATGGCACATAAAGCCTTGCATGGCCTGTTTCTCCCCATTGTGCCATCTCTTACTGCCCTCTCCCTTCCCTACTGGATTCCATCTACACTGGCTACCTTGCCTCCTCAAATGCTACCTGGCATGTTCTCACCTCAGGGCCTTTGCACTTGGTGTTGCCTATGCCTTAACATTCTTCTCCCACATAGTAAGTAACCATGCCCTGTTCCCTCAGTTCTCTAGTCTCTGCTTCAGTTTACCCTGTTAGAGAGGCATACGCTAACTATACTGTAGAAAAGAGCAACTCCTCCCTGCCCACCCCACACAGTGTCTAGCTCCTGTGTCCTACTGTTTCTCCTTAGTCTTATCTCCAGCTGACCTGCTATAATTTACTTCTTTGTCTGACTCCTCCCTACCCGCCCCCCTCCATGTAAACTCATCAGGTCAAGGACTTTGCTTTGTTCACTTTTGTATCTCCAACAGATCTTCTCTAACAGAAACCCGGGGCAATTCTATGTTGCATGAATTGATAAGACATCCTTCATATATGTCTAGTGGAATGCTACACAGTTGACAGAAGAAGTGAGATAGGTATATATAGTTTTTTTTTTTTTTAAGGTTTTATTTATTTAAGAGAGAGTGTGTTCCCATGAGTGGGGCAGGGCACGTAGAATAAGAGAGTGAGGGAGAAGCAGACTCCCCACCGAGCAGGAAGCCTGATACAGGGCTCAATCCCAGAACCCAGAGATCATGACCTAAGCCAAAGGCAGATCCTTAACCAACTGAGCCACCCAGGCGCCCCTAGGTATATATAGCTGACCCTTGAACGACACGGGGTTAGGGCACCAATATCCCCCATGCAGTCAAAAATCATGCAGTATAATTTTTTACTTCCTAAAACTTAACTCCCCAAACTTTACTAATAGCCTACTGTTGACCAGAAACCTTGCTGATAACATAAACAGCTGGTCAACACATATTTTGTATGTTAATTATATTATATATGGTATTCTAAAAGTAAGCTAGAGAAAAAATGTTACTGAGAAAATCATAGGAGAGGTCACTTTGGGTGGCTCAGTTGGTTAAGTGTCTGCCTTTGGCTCAGGTCATGATCCCAGGGTCCTGGGATCGAGCCCACTATCAGGATCCCTGCTCATCGGGGTGTCTGCTTCTCCCTCTCCCTCTGCCCCTACCCCCCACTTGTGCTCTCTCTCTCTCTCAAATAAATAAAAATAAAATCTTCAAAAAAAAAATCATAGGAGAGGGGTGCCTGGGTGGCTCAGTCAGTGAAGCGTCTGACTTCAGCTCAAGTCATGATTGCATGGTCTTCGGCTTGAGCTCAGCTTCCATCTCTGCGCTCAGCTGGGAATCTGCTTGTCCCTGTCCCTCTCGCTCTGCCCCTCCCCCTGCTCA